CACACACACACACACACACACACACACACACACACACACACACACACACACACACACACACACACCAGAGAGAGAGAGGTGGTTCCTGTTTACTCCACAATCAGGCTACTTTCTTAAACCTATCACTGTAAGTTATTGTTGTAGTGAAGGAAAGTCAGGTTGGACTGATCTATTCTCACAGGAGTGTGGCTGTTCCTCTGTCACACATGCTGCACATCATAGTCTGTGATGTTTGTTAGAGTTATGAAATGTTTGTGTTATTGATATTTTATCAATATTTTTATTGAATGGATCAATCATGAGGACAATTAAAGCTGTTTTATGTTTTAATACCTTAAGAGGTCTGCTAAAGTGCAGCCGTTTTGTTCTTTAAAAGTCTTTCACTTCAGTGTGACTGATTAAATTAACTTGACTGTTTGTTGTTTGTAAAACTGGTTTCTGAAGATAATGTTGGTTATATTCAACTCATATTAACACTGGGTCAGACCCACAACATTTATTTGATTTGATTTTCTGTCCTTCCAGTTTCCCAGCATGCTCTGGCTGTGGTGGTGGAGGTGACTGAGGGGGAAAGGTCTGTCCTGCTGCCATGTCTGTTTTCAAGTATTACACCTGAGGACGATCCCACAGTGATGTGGACTCGCAGTGACCTCGACCCCAAATCTGTACACCAACGAGGCGAAGGAGGAGATGATCTTAGAGGACAAAACCAGCGTTACAGAGAACGCACATCAATGAGACCGGATGCTTTGGACTCTTCAGACTTCAGCCTCACTCTGAGAAAACCCACAAAGAGTGACAGTGGCAACTACACCTGCTCCATCAGTGCTGGAAGTGATGAACGGAGAGTCGGAGATATCCAGCTGAAAGTCAAAGGTTAGCAGAAAAACTCCAACAAATGTTGTAATTACTGGTCATATGTTAGTACTGCAGACAAAGGTCAGAGGTCAAACTGAAGAAAAGCACTTCCTAAATGATTCTGCAAGTCTCGATGAAACCAGCAGTAACGTTTGTAGACTTTACTTCACTGAAAAAAACAAAACGTGAGAACAAAGCAGTAAAAAGGGATCTTGCTGCTACAACCATTGGAGATTTATTCATTGAGATATATTTAATTCAGCTTCTGGTCAGAGAGGTGAGTTCATGTCAGGGAGGTTAAGCACACACATCTTTACATATATTTATAACTGCCAGCTGACTTTTTACTCATCACTCAACATGAAACATTCAAGATGGTTTTTTCTAAGTGTGTCAAAATCTGTGTTTCTGTGCTAACCTGAAACTTCACCATGATCTTTTATTAACTGTAGTAGCATCTCATAAATATGTTTTTTTTTTTTACCACTGAAAACAAAAAACCCCAGAGAATATTATTATTAATGGTTGCTGGACAGAGTCAGAAATCAAGAATGTAGATACCCAGCTGTGCTCAAGTTACCATCAGTATTACTTGTCCTATATGTTGATGCATAGTCAGTCATCCAGGTAAATCCAAAAAGTTGATTCTGTTCATCTGTTTGCTTTAACAGCAGTTGTCCTTCTTCACTTTTGGATCGCCTGGAGCTTTGTTTAGGGATCTTATTACTTATAACCACATTAATAATTACAGGTCACTTGGATAGATTTCTCACACAGAAAATGGTACGTCCAGATGAACAGAATAAAGTTTTTGGGGTTCTAGTTCTGTGGTTAATATTGTGGTTTCTTGTCCTCTCAGACCAGCAGGTGGAGGTGAAGGTGGAGGAAGGGTCAGACTCTGTCATCCTGCCCTGCAAAACAACACCTGACCTGCCTGAGGACACCAGAGTGGAGTGGACTCGCTCTGAAGTGGGACTCATCACAGTCCATGAGTATTCTAACAGAAATGATGACCTTATGACTCAGGACGAAGTTTACAGAGACCGAACGAAGATGAATGAAGACCTGCTGAGAACTGGAGACCTCAGTCTGACCCTGAAACAGCCCAAAGTGAAAGACACAGGACGATACATCTGCACCATCTACAGAGACAAAGACATCCTGAGACAGAAAGTAGTGCTGCAGGTCAAAGGTCAGAGATCTATATACAGGTCAGAGGTCAATGTTGTGGACACAGGTCAGTCACATTTTTTTTTAATGTTTCTCCACAGAACTATTTCCATCCTGGGCCATAGCTCTCATAATTCTCCTGGTTCTTCTTGTGGTTTCTTGTTGTCTTTTATTTCATTTCCGGCACTATTTCATGTCAGGTGAGTGTCTCCTACTACACTACCCATAATGCCGATGGTCAGCAGGTGTCCTCTGGTGGCTCCTTGACTG